TTTAACAGTTTTTCTTATCTGTGGTTTTGCAGATACAAGTTATCACTCATATTTTGGTTAGAGTTGGTGAATGACACTTCGTAAAAGACATTTTTCTTCAGAAAAATGACACTTCCACAGAGCTAAATATCTGCGGTTGCTAACTAATAGTTTCCAAAAAACTGAACTGCATTACGGGTATTTTTCAGTCTATTGAGTTTCTTTGTTCCAGACTCCAATAGGATTTTGTGTTTTTCTGAGATAGATCTTTGGAATGAACCAGCTTCTCATGAATATCGTACAATAATTATCATACTGCTAAAGAAGAAAGAAACAAGTGTGTAAAAATAAAAGCGTGAAAAATGTGAAAAAGACGAGAAAAAATAGCAAAGAAATCCCCAGTTTCAGAAGGGGAGGGACAAGCAGTGCAAAAAGCTGTATTTTGCCGATTTTCTATGTCGCTAGTAGCTAATTCGACAAGAGTTTCTTTTATTTTTTCAGAAAATTTCTTTTCGATTTTTCGCACAAAATCAAGGCAATCGACTCAAAAATTTGTTTAGCACTAATTTCGTGATTATTTCAACTTGTTTTCCAAATAAATGATTGAAAACTTCTTATTCAGCTGCGTTTTGGACTCTATCTGTGGATCAAATAAGTCATGTGAACTATAATCGAGAACCAATGAACAACATTTTCCATTGAAATTGTGTGAAAAATTGATATAGAGTAGAAAACTCTCTACTTTCAATTAACTGCATGGTCTAAAATGGCAGTTTACAGAAAATAATGTGTAAAACTTGTTTGTTACTGATGAGAATTGAGAAATTGTCTATTTCACCAAAGACAGGATGTTCGAAGAGGAAGAAAACTTAAAATGAAGTGCTGTTCACGTTTCTTATTTTCTCTAAGCATAAAATCCAGTAGAAGAAATGAAAAATCACCTAATACATGAACAAGTGATTTTTATTTATGAACTAACGCGTTTTATATGTTTTTTTGTTCGCTACGAGTAAGAGAGCAGAAAAAAAGTTTGTATCAAAAAGAATGAAAATAAAAAACAAAGTTAGCATCATTGTAATAGATAGACAGATAGAAAAAAAACAAAATAGTAACAAAAATGTCATAACAAAACTAAATAGATTGTTCTATCAACATAAATCGTTTTGATTTGCTTTTAAAAATACAAAATCAGAAAAATGTTGATCTGTCATCGATTGAAACGATGAGAGTGGTTTTAATATTGCACCCGTTCCTTGTTGATGAAACAAACGTTCAATATAAACAGATGTAGATGGTATAGCTAACAAACGTTTAGCTAAACGTGCAATATTAGGTATTTGATGTGAATGTGTACGCCAAAATTCATAAGTATCTTTTGTTGATGATGATGTTTGTACAGGATCACTAACTAATTGAATATAATCCAATATTTCTTTTTCATAAATAATATTCATGGCTTCAGCATCTTCTAAAATTAAGAAGAAAACATATAGGCTAAAATATATTAGCTAAAGTATTAAAAAATTATTTCTTTTTTATCTTTACCTTCATCTTCCAGACTATCTTCATCAACAATCATTTCCTCATCTAAAGCATCTTCAGTGATATCTTCTTGAATTTCTCCATCATCATCAGACTGAAATGAAATATCAGAACAAAATATCACTGATTGAATACGTTTTTTTGTACTAGATTTTTTAAAACCAATAGTAAATAGAATTGTCTATTGAAACCGTATCACTCAATATATATATATATTATATAATTATATAATAATATGTATAAATAATTGCTCATTTTTCTATTTTGTATATATCTCAGTCCAAAAATATAATAAAATTTTACTTCTTTTTTTCACCATTTAATTCTCTACAGAAATCAAATTGTACATTTTTCTATGTACCTTAAAAATAAGAGCATATGGAAGAAATACTTTGAATTTGCAATCTCGAGTACGTACCAGTCCAAAAACAAACACCGAGAAAGTTATATGAAAGTTTTATATAACTAGTTTATTATAAAAGAAAAGAGCACGTAATGCTTGTTGAATTTTTATTACTGCTATTTGATACAATTATGATTTCAGTGACAATATTAGATAAACTATTAATATCTATATAGTCATTTGTACTTACTTCTTGTTTTGTTACATGATGATTCATATATGAAAATAATTTTGATGTTGGAGGAGTTGTCGAATGAGAATCATTATTATTGTTATTATTATTTTTTGACAATGTTGGAGATTTTGTTTGTTTTCGTTGTTGTTGCTGTTGATGAAATGAGAGTAAATTTGTTTTACTATGTAATGATCTTAGAAGTAAATTTTGATATGTTTGAGTTTCATCATTTAATGAATTTGTCCAACGAAATGCAAAATTTGGATCACAAATTGCAGCTGAAAAAGTCAAAAAAGAAACAACAAATACTTATAATATTTAACCAACAGAAATACGATAAATATAATATTTTTTATTTATTTGTTTATATTAAAGTTTCAAATTAGGTTATAAATAATCGTTGATTGATTTTCTCATGCTTACCTAGTATAAGATGTTCATTTGTTTCTAAATTTTCAAATGTTTTTGAAAAATTCATCATTAAAAAATCTTTTATTTGTTTAATTGATGATGATTGTGGTTGAAATTTTTCCAAATGTAATTTGAGTCCACGATAAGATGGTAAAGTTTTTGATATTGATGATTCTGTTTGTAATAGATCAATTGCTTCTTCAAATGGTTCTAATAATTCAATAAGTTCTTTTAAAAATAAACGTTCATCATGTGTTAAACGTAATTCATGTGGAACACATTCTGTACCAATATAATAAACACTAAATATTGATCGTAAAATTTTCATTTGAAATGTCCAACGTATTTGATTATATTGATTTAATAGACCATTTAGTTTACGAAATGATGATAGAAGAATATCCGACATTTGTAAATGATTAATTATTTTACATAATTTTGATATAGATGGTGAAATAAGAACAGAACAAGACGAATAGATTTGTTTCATACAACGTTGTAATAAATAAGAAAAACAATATTGCCACACATGATCAACACCTAAAATTAATAATAATTATAAGTTTTAGTTCTACTACTAATGATACAAACTGAGTTAGTTGTTGTAATTCGTTACCTTTAGATGCAAATAATTCAACATCATCAAAATCTACTTCATGCCAATCATCATCTTGTTCACTACAATTATTTTCGCTTCCATTCTCATCATTTGTTGTACCATTTTCTTCTTCATTTGCTGTTGTTGTTGTTGTCGTCGTTGTTTCATCATTTTCCGTCAATGTCAACTCATTACCCGCTTCTAGCTTCCATCCGGGTAAACTTAATTCTCGATAAACTTTGACAATATTACAAGCATTATCAACAATAACAATACCAATTTTCTGAGATGATAGTTCATATTTTTGTATACAATAATCATAGACATCTGAAATTAATTTATCATAACTGAGAAATGATAGGCGAAATCGTTGACATGTTAATAGATAACAATGTGGAAGCCAATCATCATCGATATATTGACAACTGACTAAAATAAAGTAAAAATCAAAATTATTAGAGAATTTCTAATTCTTCATCAATCTACAATGCCTTTATTTAGAGTGAAAAATATCACCATATTAATGAACGTTGTTTAGTGTAACAAAATACTTCTTGTTACTATTTAATATGAAATGTAACTTACCCATAATGTAAAATATTTGTTGATTTTGTTGAGTGATCGATGATGTAGTTAATAAATTAATTTTTAAAATTAGAAATTGTTGTTCAGATAGAATTTGTTTTAAACGTAATCTTGTTTCTTGAAGATAAGTCGGCAATATTTGATCATAGAATTGTTGCTGTGTCGGTAATTGATACGATGAATTTAATAATGAAATAAAATCATGAAATAATTTATCTTCTAATATGGATACTGGCAATGACATTTGAATTAATAATTGAATAAATTGTTTTGTTATTGAAGATTGTGTGGAGATCTGTTCTTGTTGATCAACGATTAACGATGGATAACCGGATGTTGATGTTGATGAAGGAGATGGTTGTTGTTGTTGTAGTAGATGTAAAGCATTTAAAAATGGTGAATTTAGAGTTTGATTTGGAGTTGCTGAAGTAGATGTAGAACTAGTTGATGATGAACGACCATTTGATGCAGCAGGTAGATCAATGGATGATAATTTACGTTTTTGTGGTTGTTGACGATGTTTCTGTAATGTACGATGATTAATAGAAAGATGTGTATGAGCTCTTGGATGATGAGAAGAAACTGAGGAAGATGATGGATGATTATGTCTAAAATGAAACAAATAAGACAGTTTGTATTGAAAAATCAGATTTTTACACGGTAGATAAGTGCAATTCAAATTAAAAGTAATAAACGTTAACATACTTTCTATCTGAAATTAAAAATGCTTGCTGTTGTACCATATGTTTTTTGGACAATGGCCGATAATGTTGTTGTTGCTGTGCATGATGTTGGAGTGTTGCTGGCTGTGGAAGCGATGTGACTGAATAATTTTGTTGTTGTTGTTGTTGTTTTTTATTGTTATGATAAAGATTATTTTGTTGTAATGTTGGTGAAGGCATATGAGGATGAGGATTAGTTTTTTTATTGCTTTGATGATTTTGAGTCGGACGACCCGTAGAAGAAACACAAGGCGTCGATGGTGAAATAATATCTTGTTGTTGATGTTGAACATGACTAGTATTATTATTGTTATCATTGCTATTACCACCTTTCAATTCAACACGCATACGTTTTGCTAAAATTAAAAAAATAGATATACCTAATTATTAATGAAAACATTTGCTGTGTAAGATACTAAGCATAGGTTTTTATTACAAGTTCAAACATGGGAAGAGCTATCATAAGAAAAAGCATTCTTATACTTTAACAAAGTTCAGAATACTTTAAATGATATTAAATTGGCATCTTTTTAACTGTAATAGCGGTAAGATACTGTGTATATTGTTTAGAAAGGTATATTCGAATAATAACATTAGTTACATCGAGTATTTTTGACAGATACTATGAAGGAGTAAAGTGAAAACATGATGATAATACTTTTTAATTCATACTATGTGAACATTAATAAAAATCAGTTAACTCACCATTGACATAATCACAGTATTCTTTAACATGTTTTCGTTTCAAATGTCCAATAAAATTCGATGTTACTCGAATTGAACCACTAATAAACGTATCACAAAATCGACATCTCAATTTTAATATTTCATTTTTAACACGTGGATATGTTATTAAATCATAATAGGAGAAAACACTTGGAAATTGAGTAATAGGTGCACCAGCTGTTGTTACTGCTGTTGTTTGTACTATTGTAGTAGATTTTGGTGACAATGATCTATCATTATCGTGATTAGGTGATTGTTGTTGAAGATCCATGGTTTTTGTAAAATATTCCATTACTAATAGTGATATCAAAATAACAACAATTTATTTCATCTATAAGATATAATCTTTGAGGTTGAGTACACATAAATTTCTCTCTTTCTACGTGTATATGTGTACACTCTGTAATGCTAATGCACATATAGTGAAAATAAGAAAAACTATCGACAAACGAAAAGAGAAGAAAAAATTTCTTCTTCTCTTTCATGTATTAATATACTTAGATTGTAACTAGTTCTATATAGAATATATACATTTTTACATTAAATGAAATTCAGACGAGAATGCATTTTGACGACGCCTATTTCGTTTCTGTTCGTGTATCTCCACTAAATCATCAATTAACAACAACAAAATACATATTTGACATACAGAGAGATATGTGCGTGCGTGTGAGTGAGAGAAGAATAATTTATGTCTTATAACTATGTACATATACCCTTCAACATCAACGTCTTATTCTCTCTCACACTCTCTTTCTCACTCTTTCTCTTACTCATATATTGAATTTGTGTCCTTTCTCGATAATAATAATAATGTTTGGAAAAAAGAAAGAATGCAGACGTTTATATTCGTGTTCGAAGAGAAATAAATTTTTTCATTATTATTTTATCTAATTGTAGAATTTTATGTGATGTGAATGAATGAATGAATGAATGAATGAAGCAGAATATAAGAAAAGCAAATATACTGACATACAACATTAAAAAGGTCATTTATTCTTCTCGTTTTTTTTTATTCCAAAAAAAAAAGAAGGAATATATATAAATATGTTGAGGTTCATATATATAGGCAATAAATCTCTTAAAAAATATGGCACATATACAACCTATATGTGCCGTACGACGTCTATATAATTAATTCACAAATGCATATTCACAAATACCAGAAGAAGAAAAAAAAAAACGATCTTCCCTGGCTATGTACAGAATTTTTTTTTCTTCATGATAAGAACGACAAAAAAACTATCAGCAACATTTAATGGTCGTACACAAATCACAAAGCAATGAAATGAGAAAGAGAAACAAACACTAATAATTTGATGATTGCCGTTGCAATAGAGCCATTAACAGACTTAAACGATTTTAATTTGAGATTTTTCTATATAGGAATTACACCATTCTCTCTCTCTTTCTCTCTCTTAGAAAATAAAAGATTTTTAATGTTTTTTGAAATTGAAACATTTTGAAAAATAATGGCAAGGTGAAACAAAGAGATGATAATGAAACGTGTATTTAGCAGTAGTAGATGATTTAAGCTACCGTGACGTGTTTTGACCTTGCTTAAGGGTCTCTTCAGACGACTAATCTTTTTCGCTTACATGCAGTGCATTTTTATATCCGAATTATATACTACTTAATCAAAACATTAGTGGAGATAGCGATCGCTCATGCTTTCTCTCTTTTGCTTTCTTTCCCTGTATAATACAAACTCTGATTTCAATTTACTGCTGTCAATGACGATACTATAAGTACATTTGTTCATTATAATTTTAGCATTAGTAAAACAGCCTGATCTTTTTATTAAGAAACAACAGAGTTTGATCTAACGAACAAAAATATCTGAAGTCTAAAGTTACAGCTAGTTTCTGATTTCAACACTGATAGTTATTTCTTTTCACGAAACACGTCTTAGTTTCCAGAAAACGTTTCAAATATGACTTAGTGAGTTTTTTGAATTTAATGATAAATTTTCTAGACTCTTTATATTAGCTTTATATAGTAGATTCTATTGAAGACTATAAGTAATACTGTTTTCAGTTATTGTAAAACTGTACTATTATTTTGAGCAGAGATATTAATTTTAAAAGAAAAATGAGTTGAAAGAACTGTTACTCTTATTCATATCATTATGATCTTCGAATTATTATTATTCTATCAGTACCATATATTGTGGAAAGCTGACTGCGACATTATGAGCATTGATTTTCTTATTAATGCATAAACTGGAAGACATCTATATTATGCTGTGACTCTTTCCAAATTGAGATCACTTTTTTACACTCACTCTCACTTGGTCACTCTCTGATGTTTGTTTGATGTAATTAAGACTTCGAAATTTTTTGATAAAAAGTGGTCTTAATTAGAAAGACTCGTATGCTATAATTACTTCTACGTAAGAGTATTCTTTGTAGAAAAATTGTTCTTAAATCTATATTGGTCAAAAGTGTTATCTACATCGTTTTTTTTTTTATTTTTAACATAATTTATTTCTCGTCGTCTTCTTTTTTTTTTTTCTTTTACAACAGAATTCAAATAAACAAGAAAACAAATACGCGCATACACACGTATATTTGAAAGAAAAAAAGAAAAGTAAAAAAAAAAAATTGTTTGAAGAAACTTTAATCGCGATTTATAAACACAAAAGAAGAGAAAAAAAAGCTATATCGTGTGACTATGTGAGAAAAAAAATGCAACTCTCCTCACTTTTGTATGTATAAATTAGTTCAACAAGAGAAAATGGAATGCTAAAAAAATATGACATTAATCGCGCACAAAACAAGAAAAAAAAATCGATCTCGATTTGAATTAAATTGTCTAGTTCGAGAGAAAGAAGAAAAAAAAAATTTACAGAAAACACATTTTTGACACACCTAAAGTGTTTGTTTATGTTTATTTTTAATAAATAAATAATTAACTTCTAATTGCCGTTGATATACCGTTCACTTTATGAGATGTTAGCGTCCCATCTTCTTCAATCATTTCCGTTGTTTGACCATTTTCTTCAACTCTAAAAAAAACACACATAGTTCATTTAATTACAAATTGAGACGACAAAGTGTTCGCTCTGTTCTGTTTCAAATATATTTTACACTCTCCTGTCGCTATTAGATGGGATTCTTTGAACTTTTGTAATTTTCTACTAGATATACTGTAAGAATATGGTATACGATATATTCAATGATTGCTTCTTTACCTTGTCGTCACAATTCGTTTCCCATTAATAACTTTTGTTGATTTTGTAATTTTTTTTGCTGCTGGCCAACTTGAACTGAAAACAAAAAGAAAAAAAAAGAAGAGATACAAATGTTTTACCAGTATAGAATAGAATAAAAATGATAAACATACTCTGTAAAATTAAATGATGATATTGTTCCAAATCCGTTTCCACCATCAAATGTTGTCATTCCCATTGATGGAAAAAAACTATCGAATAAACTAACTTGTTGACGTTGAGAGCGAGGTTGTTGACGTTGATTATTTGAATTTGAACGAGAACCACCAAATGGATGTAGATTATAAATATTCTGATGTCCATCATTAAAACGGCCAAAATTATCAAATATATTTCCAAAACCTAAAACAATTGAGAAAAATTATAGTGTATAAACTGTTTATTAATCGATATTAAAGAAATCCCCAAATATTCAAAAAGTTAAAATAAAATTAAGTAGAGTAAATATAACAAGCATATACTATAAGTAAGCTTAGAGCTGAACAACTTAGAGATTTTAAACTCAAACTCAAATCTTGAGTTGAATTAAATTGCACTGAACTGAATTTTTTTTAAGTTGAGATGTTCAGCTCGGAGCAAGATATATATATATCTAGATGTAGGACATGAAAAACAAAAAACATGCATCATTACAAAAATTCAAGGATGCACTGCAAATATCTGATGAAAGGATGGTTAAATTCAATAGAAAACATTTGAAAAATCTCAAATACAAATTGTAAATCGATCAGCTAACTATTTCCTGATCATGAATCAAATGTGATTAGTGAAAATGAAATGCCGGTTACAATTCTATAGACGGAGGGGACTGATTAAATACTTGTTAGTGAAAAACTTAAGGCGAGAAACCACAGATAAATTTTTAATATTCAATAGAAATCTAATGAACAACTGTTCCAGTATTCTATTCTACTATTGCATCTTTTGTTAGGGCGATATATTTAAATTAGATAGGTACAGATAACATCAATCATATTACTTAATTTCTCACCAAAACGAAAAGAATGTCTGGTCCATCTATCTAGAATCAATATTTAGAGAAAATAAAATGTTTCTGAATGACCAAAAAGAAAGATCCTGAAACATCATTGCTAATATAAGACACATTCACTTTTAAGTGAAGTAAAATAATTGAAAAATTTTCTTACCATCATCTGATCCTCCACCAGCATGATTCATAAATTGTGCAAATATTTCAAATGGATCATGAAAATGGAATGCTTGACTAAAGTCATCATCGGTTCCAAAATACATATTTTGTCCGTGACCTCCATTACTACGCATACGATCATATTTACGACGTTTATCTTCTATAAGAGAAAAGTAAAAATACAATTTTTTTTACCATATCAAGACTTAAAAATAGAAAATAGCGTAAAAATTTTAAAACCAATGCGGCTATCATGTTAAGAATTTTAATAAAAAGTTTTAATCAAACTTTTATTAAAACTTAACTTTTTATTAAAATTCTTAACATGATAGCCACATTGGTTTTAAAATTTTTATCTTTAACTTTGCCCATAAACTCGAAAATAGCGTAGTTCAAGCAGCAGCAGCAGTAGTAATATTTCATGCAATAATAACATTTGACTATCGTCCATTCACCATTGATTTATCTGAAACCATTACCAATTTTGTTAGTAATAAATACATGCATACATTTTCTTTCCTACCTTTATTACTCTTTTCTTTAAATACAATAGGCTTATTAGCCGCATGACTTATATCTATCATGTTTGATACAACTTTTTTCAATGGTGAATATTCATTCATCACTTTATTCGAAGGTTGTTCTAAAGGTGTCGATGTTGAACGTCCTTTTGCTAATAAATCATCGAGTACATTTAAACTAGTATTATCTAATTTTTCATTAGCCTTATTTAGTAATAATCGTTTTGTTAACAGTTCATTATTAATTTCATGATTTATTGAATCTTTTTGAGATATTGTTAGTAAATTTGGTCGAACTGATTGTTTACCTGATCGAGAACGACGAAATTTTTGTGGTGATAGATATGGTAATTGTTCGGTTTCAAAACTAATAACATTAAACTTTTTACCCGCTTGAGAAATTAATGTTTGAGAAAATTGAAATTGTTCGTTTTCATTTGCTACTTCTAATAAATCGATCGATTTAATATGATTCGGTATTGAGAGTATATTATCGAAAATACCAATTGATCTAGGTCGTGGTGGATTTAATCCTTGTTTTTCTAAACTTTTATCAATGTCAATAACGGATGAAAATGCTTTTATTATTGGGTCATGATAAAATTCTGACTGTTCTGTCTTCTTCTGAACATCTCCGTTATGATTTAAAAGATTATTCAATGTTAGAGAATAGTCAATATTTGTTGATTGTTGTTTATTTGGTTGTGGTTGATGAATTTCATTATGTTGCTTCACGTTTGTCTTATCAACACGATACATTTGTTCATCTTGGATCTTTACAGGACGAAGTTTCATAGGTGCCAGATTCGTTTGAGGTTTTTGTTGCTCTTTGTTTGCTGTATGAATTAGAGGAGTTGATTTAATTACCGGTTCATCATTCATTTGATTTTTTCGATAGTTTTTATTCATAGATGAAGCTGAAGTTGGATTTTCTTGTGAACGTTTCAAAAACGGTTCTTTAGGATAATTATTATCGGTTTGTTTTCGATTTATTAGAGATGCTTGCACATTATCTGCTTTTAATGGTGAGCGATTTCGTTGAGAAGTCGGTAAATTGTTGATTTTGTTTGGTAAAACATTACTTTCTGTCATTTTTATTTGTTGATATGTTCCATTTCTTAATGGCACTGATATATGATCATTTATATTTGGAATGGAGTTTCGTTGCTCATTCTTATTCATCTGTGATTCATTTATAGACTTATCGTTGTTAACTCGTCCATTTTCTAAATGATTGAAAGTTAAGTCATTTTGTTTATTATCTTCATTTCGATCGTTTAACGATGGTATGTTAATTTTAAGTGAAGGACGTGCACTTTGCATTGAATGTTGTTGATCATTGTTGCGATTGTGCATTTGTAGAGGCCTATATTGTTTATTATTTTCAAAGCCATCATTCACGATTGACAATTTGGGTTTACTGAATAATTCGTTCTTCGGTAGAATTTTTGATGTTTGTTGTGGAGGATGAGATTGATTGTTGTTGATGTGCGATGATTTGTTCGTCCCATTTTCTTCTAATAGACGATGTTGAAATGGATTATGCATTCTCGATTCATCTTGTTTGTGAACACCAAGCACACGATGATTTCGATCGTGCGACAATGGTATAGAATTCTTCTGTTTAATTTCATGATTACTTTCATTGTTTAGATGTTTATCATTTGCATTTGAATTAGAATTCATATGATTAATTATCGGAATTTCTTTACGGATTGGACGATTTTGTCCATTATTACTAGCGGTAACATTTCTTTGTAAATCATGCATATGATGATTAGGGAGGTTTTGTCGATTCTTAGTGTCAAATTGTGATTGATTTACGTTTTGAGAAATATTATGTCTAAACTCTATTAGCGGTTCTTTTAAAGCTTCTTGAGATTCTGACGATTGATGCGGATGAGATATTATATCATTCTGAGCGCGACATAAATCATTAAATGGTGGTTTTTGTATGCCATTTTGTTTATCTGAGTGAGATAGTTGACCAGATGAAACTTTTTTTTTGTTCAATTCGGCATGTTCAAACCTTTTAATGAGATTATCAGTAGTTTTTAGTTGTACATCAGTTTCAGGCGAATTACCGTTCTTTAAAATATTATTATTATTATTATTTTGATTTATTCTTGGCGTTTGGCGGTTGTCTATAACTGGTACTGAAAATTGTTTCGGTATAGGAAACGATTGTTCTCGGTAAATATTAGAATTATTATTTTGTGAAAAATCACGATCTTTTTTTTTATTATTAGAATTATTATTCAGTAGTCTATGACCATTTTGTTGCTGTTGTTGCTGTTGTTGTTGTTGCTGTTGTTGTTGTTGCTGTTGCTGTTGTTGTTGTTGCTGTTGCTGTTGTTGTTGCTGTTGCTGTTGTTGTTGCTGTTGCTGTTGTTGTTGCTGTTGTTGTTGTTTTTGTTGTTGTTGTTGTTGTTGTTGTTGAGTATTTGTCGGTGTTTGTCTTTTTTGCTTGTGATGCATATAATCGTGCATTTTAACGAAACGATTAATATCATTTGAAAGTTTTAGCTTAGAAAAACGTGATTGATGTTGGTCGACCTGTGGTGAACTTTTATCAGTAACAAATGTTTTGAGCAAATCCAGTTCATCTTCATTTTCAGTTTTTTTCTTCTTTCCTTTTTTCTTTCCCTTTTGTTGATCATGTAATTCGCCATTAGTCGGAACAACTGACGGTTGTTCTTTTCTACTATTGACAAAATATCGATTTCTTAAATCGTAACAATTTTTATCTTTATCAAGATCAAAATCGTAATAAATTGACACATTCATTTCATGTACTACTTGTCCTCCTTTAGAAGCCCAATCTACATCATGATTCATTTGATCATGTTGAATTAATCCTTCAAATGTTTCTTGATCATTTTCTTCAACAACATGATAGATATGTTCAAATGTTTCATCATTAAGTCCATTTGCGGATAAAAAAGAGTTGAGCTCTGTATCGAGTTCAGTTTCTTTTTTTTTTGTTCTTAATAACATTTCATCCTCTTGTTGTTGATGTGCTGGCCGTTGTTTCATTTGATATTGACGAAATTCTTCTTCACATAGACGACGAAATGATTCATCAGTAATTACCGTACGAAATAAACGTTCCAATTCTTCATTTGTTGTTTGAGAATGAACAACATTTGGTCCAAATTTATCATATAAAAATCGGCCACGACCTTTTTGAGTACAATAGCATAATAACGACAAGAAATATGCTATTATTATTACTATAACTACTACTACTACTGCTGCTACTGCTACTACAATCACCAGTACTTTTACTAATTCTAGAAAAAAGAAAGCTGTTTAAGAGATCAATGATATACTTACTATCGGATAATATTTCATAGGCTTCTGATATTAATTTAAATTTTTCTTCTGCTTCTGATTTATTATTTAGATTTTTATCCGGATGCCACTAAAAACATAGATAGAAATGAAAAAAAAATCATTTAAATAAAATGTATAGATGAATGATTGATGCTCAAACTAATACTATAAACAGACAAATCATAATTTTGACTTTTAATCAATTATAACTATTTATATAGATAAGCAAACAGAAAAGTTTCAATTCCAATATTAAGAAGAAGTATGTGTTATTTTTTCAGTATTTGATTTCAAATTATTTTCTAGACTTTACAGAAAATGATACCATGTATCAATAGATTTTAATCTTTTGTCAATTTGTTAACATGTACCTTCAATGCCAAACGTCGATATCTAAAGAAAAGAGAAAAAAAATAATAATAGTAATAATACTTATAAGAAAATTTTCAATTTCTTCTCATACGTACGCTTTTTTAATTTCATCTTCGCTGGCATCTTTTTCAACTTCTAATATTACATAAAAATCAGTCATATTTTTAGATGATTAAAATAAAATAATTAAAAAACTAAAAGAGAAAAGGTATAAAAAGAAAATGTACGTTTCTCCAGACACTATGATCTGAAATCAGTTCGCTTATTTTCTACAGTTAAAACATGCCATTCTTTCTTTACTCATATACACAGATAACTATCAATGTTATGTATGTGTGAGTGTGAGTGTATATAGTTATTCGATTACACAGATACTCTTTCTCGTACTATTAGCATATTACATAGATGTATATAGAGCAAATCTCTCTGTATTCAGTGACAGTTGTATCCTTGTAATATAATAAAAATCAAGAAAGGAACAAGGACACATTTTTTACTTTCTTGTTTTAGTCTAATCAACCAAATCTAATCGAATAATGTCGAGTCCTGTGTTATCTTTATGAACTTAGACCCGCCATCATTTTAAACAAGTTCAAGTTCAAGACTAAAAAACGTCAGCAGATTTAACACTATATAAGAGTCATACTGATCTATTTTCATCTTGAGCAGTATCATTACATGCATCTAACTACTGATTATGTTATCTATACAACTAGGAGAGACAATGTCATTGTACGACAAAGTTATCTTATCTCGGATATGTTCTGTTCATAGAAAGCTACTTTTTTTATGAAATTAATACTGATATACGGGGGCAGAATTCAAAAACATATCCACAGACGTTATTTAAACAAAGATGGAGTTTGTCTGTTGGAAAATATTGTGTCTCACAAACTATAGAAACAGCCTTAATTCAATACCTTCTTACTTTCTAAAAAAATCAAATGTGTATACTAATCAATTTAAGGATATCCACCCTCTCGTTTTCGGGTTTCCGTAGAAATACTGTGAAATAATAACTAAAACTCACTAAGGTTTCATATTTTCAGAACTGATTGGAAACTCAATGAAGCACTTTTTCATTTTTGTTTTAAGTTTTTAACTATTACCGTTCACCAGTTTTCCAGAAAACTCGGTTTTTCGTTGGACTACATTATGACCCCCCTTAAATTTCATCTGACAGAGTTAAAAATTTTACCAGAGATACTCAAGACTATTGCAGAGATGGCTTTTTGGAATTTTATTTTAAAACTTTCTTTACCGAGTTATAGGGTTTCTAAAATTGAAAAACTTGGTTTTTGAGACGTTTTTCAGTATTTTTCCTATAACTCGATCATGAAAGATCTTAAAAGAATTTCGCAAATACCTCTGCCATATGATCTTGAGTACGTCCGATAAAACTTTTAACTTGATCGGATGAAATTTAAGGCGAGTCGTAATGTGGTCCAACGAAAAACCGGAGTTTCTGGAAAACTGATAAATGACAATAGTTAAAAACTTGAAACAAAAATGAAAAAGTGTTCTATTGAGTTTCCAATCAGTTCTGAAAATATGAAACCTTAGTGAGTTTTAGTTATTATTCCACAGCATTTCTACGGAACGCCGAAAAAGAGGGGGGGGTACCCTTAACAACATAAATCTCTATCTTTATTCATCGGTTTTAATAAAAAAATTGATTTGGCAGGCTCACGTTTTTCAACTTCTTCAGCCTTTACCAGATTTAATCTACTATCACCTCATATCTGTCTGTCTCTCTCTCTCTCTCATCTCATTGCTTTTGATAAACTAGAAACATTAGAGAAAAAACAGGTGCTACCGAAATCTTCCAATTATTGTTTAATTTATATAATTGATAGTTACTGTTTTTCTCTCTTTCGTCTGTCTACAGACAGAAGGTAATAGTGCCGTGTGTGTGTGTGAGAGGGAGAATAGAAAATCGATACTGATAATATACGATTTATTTATATATATATATAATCTAGAATAGAAAAATAAATACCACTCAAAATTCAAAATCTGATGACTCATATTCGTAACATCGGAAGAAATTAAGTTTCTAATTATAGCAAGAAAAAGAAGAGTTGTCAACCATTTACATCCCATCTTATGCAACGCTATTATAAACTGTTAGTTTATGGCACGATTGTATTTGATGAAGGCGTATTGCTACCATTGTCTGCTCAAATTTTAGAGGAAACCGGCTCCGCTTAGAATCATGGAATATATGGATAGTTTCAGTGAGAATCGAATGAATAGACCTCTATTTGTACCGGTACCATGTGCATACCTAAGTTGACGATAGACTCGTAGTAGTTATACAGATGAGCAGTGATAATTCAATGGGAAAAAGAAAAGTCTTTTTTTTCCCCGAGAATGTGAAGATGCAATATTTACTATCGAAGTTTCTCAAAAGCTAAACCGCGTAAGAAGTTTATTGGTGGAGTATCATTGCACAATGATTGAAAAATAACTTGCATAATTTCCGAGAAAATATGAATACAAATAATAAATAAATTCAACTTTTTCAACAAAAACTGAAATTATAAATACAATTAGAGTGAATTCGCATGTATGTTCGTATGATATCTGTTTTTTATTCTGGAAGAAAAATAACAGCAAAGAAAAAAAACAATTTTTGTGCAGCGAAAACGTTAACAAAACAATATATTACTATTGACTCTATATTCACCCCAATTCTTTAGCATGTGATGTGAAAAAGCAAACAACAAGTCTCATGATTAAAAATTTCTCGACCAAGAACTATTTGCATTTCAATCATCAACTATTTACATCCGCTTGAGCATTTTTATGGTATTTATAACTTTATAAGATAAGAACACCAGAGTTTTATTGCATAATTTCATTGGTCACACGATAAAAACAAAAGAAATAGTGTTCGTGGATGCACAGAAATTAAAAGACCAAATTTTCTCACTTATGAAGGAATATTCATTCTCAGGCGTCTTGTCCTCTTGGGCCCAGATAGAAGCCGCTTTTTTCAGTTTCTAACGCTGATTAAGAATTAAAGTATCTTAGATGGTGATCTAAGCAAAAGAAAAATCGATAAGCTGGCTCAACCTAGGTAAAGTAGTACATTTAGTTACTAAATGTACCGCTTTACCTAGGTTGAGCTGGCGTATTGATTTTTTCTTTTGTTTGGGGACGTAAAGAAAGAGAATGAAAGTTTGTGACAAAAATGAAATTTACCGTAAGTAGAGTGCACATAATGATGAAATTTATAATCAGCGTCAAAAATTGGATAAAACCTACTCATAGTTTGAATTAATTCCTGATAGAAGCATCTAGAAATTCTCCCTCATTAATTGACCGACCGACCATTATACGAAAAACAAAACATATCCTTAAAACATTATTATTGTTTACACGATGTAAGTTAGTAAGAAAACACTTTTGTGAAGAAAGAGGAAAAAAACACGTACGAGTTCAAGAACTGACTATTGTGGGACCTTTTTTTGTTTTCTCTTCGTCACGGTAAAGTACCTGTTTTACGACTGATAACTTCTGACATCATTATTGATTCACAAAAACAAAAATGGTTACACATTTAAACAACGAAATAGAAAGAACAAATAACCAACATTATTAAAAAATTAGCAATACAATAAAATAATATGATAATAAAGATCAATGAACAAACAATTTGTCGAACTATCATCTTAGCCTGCTGAAGAATAATATATGTATGATGGTAAAAAACAAATATTCTCGTCTACACTCTTAACAGCGTATAGGTTCAAACAATATTTGAGTTTCATTTTTGACGCACATACAAAGGTTTTTCATTCCTTCAGACGCTTTCTTCAATTCTGACCTTTGAACCTAATAAATATCAAATTATATAAATAGTACACACAATCGAAATCTAGTCATGTAAAATTATACTGAAACCAAGAGAGAAATAAGATAGAACTTAACTATTACTTAAACTTAATATTTAGAGGTATTCTGTTTATCTACCATAGACAAAATATGACCTATAGGTTTATCTCGTACTGAACATAGTAAGAGATTATTTGACTATTAAACTGGAATGATAATAAAAATAATTACTTTAAAATTTTAAATCGAAAGTATATTGGTACAATAGTCTCTAGCGCAAATCAAATAAATAGTAGAAAAAGACATCAAAATGATAATAAATGATATGAATAAATCCTTTAGTGTTTCGTTTTGTTGTCTATTCGAAATACTATGTGGAAAAGAAAGCGGCAAAGTCAAAAAATAGAAAGAAAAAAGAGCAGAATGAACAAACGAATGTCAAGGCAATATTGATACCACGCATAACCATCAGCTGTAAGTGTTTTAATCCAATAAAAAATATTAAGTAAATTACTTTTAAATAGTTATAAAAATAAAACTACATTGTTAACGGAATTAAAATGAGTTGTGTACGTGAATATTAGAGAAACTCAAATGAGATAGTTGAAAATAATCCGTCGTACCTGGTTTTTATAAGGATTTTGCTTTTATGTTAACCACAGAGCTATATCTATTTTTTCCTTAATAATAATGATTATTATTGGGTGAAACCAAAATGAATTTGTCACGTTTTCTCATATTACAACAGGTAAGGTAATCGACGTATAGATATAATCAAAACTAATAGATTGTAACTCAATGACATAAAAAAATATTAATCGTCTGTACACGGGACAGACATAACATACGTACGTTTAAAGGTGATATAAAATAGTGTTAATAACCTTAAAGCTATGTTTAATAATAAATAAATGAAAAAATTGATAACAAATAAATCATCATTACTGTTCGATAATCAAGGTTGCATTTTTAGGTTTTTAATCAAAATGAAAAAGAAAATCAAAGAAAAAATACATTGTCGAAATTTTTTAGTGATGAAGATGAATAAGGTTTGTGAAAAGGTGTCCGTTGTCTAAAATATTTACAATAGAAAAATATGGTTTGGTAGTACTTTTTATACCAGATACGTCTTTTTCTATAGCAACGCATGACTTCGTTCCATTGATGTAAATAAACGAGAGAAGAGAGAGAGAGTGTGTGAGAGAGAGAGAAAATTAGTTTTTTTTCTATGTTGATTTTTCTTCTATCTATATGATGTTTCTGTGAGGTACACTTGGTTAAAC